CGGGAAGCGTCTTCGAGGTACGACAAGCAAGCGGGACGTTCTGGCTGAATCCTTGAGTAAATATATCTTTTCTTTAACTATATGGGTTGCCGCGCTGCACGGGATTTTTCGTTAACGGATTCCCCAAAATGGTCTGGCGTGCTCCTGTATGGTCTGCCGTGCTCTTGTGTGGTTTGCCGTGCTCCTGTGTGGTCTGCCGTGCTCCCGTGGGGTCTGCCGTGTCCTGTGTGGTCTGCCGTGCTCCTGTGTGGTCTGCCGTGTTCCGGAAAATTGGCCGTTTCGCTCGGGACGTCCTCAAAAAATCGGCTCCGGAGGGGACTCCGAAGCAGCATTATCTTGGAATCGCTCCCGGAGGGCCTCCAAACGGCCCAAGAAAGCCCCCGAAGGCCCCCCAGAGGACCCCCAGAGCGCCCCAAGAGACCCCCAAGAGGCCCCCAAGGGGCGGCCAGAGGCCCGCCAGAGCGCCCAAAACGCCCCAAGAGACCCCCAAGAAGCCCCCCAGGGGCTCCAAAGAGGCGGCCAGAAGTCCCCCAGAACGCGCGAAAAGGCTCCAGGAGTTCCCTGAGAGCTTCATATCGCCCCATAGAGCCCCCGAAGGCCCCCCCGGGACTCCCCCAAGAGGCCCCCGAGAGGCCAGAGGCTACGACAGCCCCAAGAGCGTCCAAGATACCTCCAAGACGGCGCCGAAGCCAGGAAACGCAACAGGGATGTTCTCTGACGTTCTCGCCAATACGGTCTCTGACGCACGTGGTGGATAAAAAACTGCGCTTCCCGTTCTTGTCCGGTCAGGTTCCCCAAAATGGCCATTTCGCTCGAGACATCCTCCAAAAATCGAGGTGTTGGAGGCTATGTTCGCAACATCATCTTGAAACCGAGAGGAGCACGGCAGACCAAGACGAGGAGCACGGCAGACCAGGCCCCAAGAGCGCCCTCAAGACGACGGAAAGGAGGACCAGGACGAGGAGCACGGCAGACCAAGACGAGGAGCACGGCAGACTATGCCCTAAGAGTGCCCTCAAGACGGCCGAACAATCATCAAACAAACAATGAGTCTAACGTCGTCTTGGAATCGTTTTTGAGGGCATCAGTACGGCCCCCCAAAAACAGAATCGGCCCAAAGATGACCCGCAGAGTGCCCTCAATACGGCCGAACATGAGGATTTCGCTGGGGACGTGTTCAATAGATTAAGAGTGTATCAGCACCGTCTGTTGCAACAGCGCTGTGCTGGTCTGCCGTTCTCCTGTGGTCAGCTGTGCTGGTCTGCCGTGCTCCTGCGGTCTGCCGTTCTGGTCTGCCGTTTTGGTCCGCCGTGCTCCTGTGGTCTGCCTTCCTGGTCTGCCGTGCTGCTGCCGTCTGTCGTGTTGCTGCGCTGTGCCGTGTAAGCTGATAAACCGGTCAGACCGATGAAAAAAACGAGAGTCGGGTTACAACGGCTACGCAGATTTAAACTGCTAGTCCAAAGGCTCTCCAGAGGACCCCAACATCTCCCAAGCACACCCCGAGAAATCCATCATCATCATCATCATCATCATCATCATCATCATCATCATCATCATCATCATCATCATCATCATCATCATTATCATCATCATCATCATCATCATCATCATCATCATCATCATCATCATACGCATGTCCAGGACCACGATCATCATCGTCATCATCATCCGCACCATCAGCATCATCATCACCATCGCCACCATCACCATAAGTATAATCATCATTCGTATCATCATCGTCATCCTCATCGTCATCGTCATCGTAATCATCATTATCATCATCACCACCATCATCACCATACTCATACTCATACTCATCATCATCCTCCTCCTCATCATCATCATTATTATCATCATCGTACGCATCACCATCACCATCAGCAGCAACATGTTCATCACCAACAACAGCAGCGTCAGGCCAGAGGCCCGCCAGAGCGCCCAAAACGCCCCAAGAGACCCCCAAGAAGCCCCCCAGGGGCTCCAAAGAGGCGGCCAGAAGTCCCCCAGAACGCGCGAAAAGGCTCCAGGAGTTCCCTGAGAGCTTCATATCGCCCCATAGAGCCCCCGAAGGCCCCCCCCGGGACTCCCCCAAGAGGCCCCCGAGAGGCCAGAGGCTACGACAGCCCCAAGAGCGTCCAAGATACCTCCAAGACGGCGCCGAAGCCAGGAAACGCAACAGGGATGTTCTCTGACGTTCTCGCCAATACGGTCTCTGACGCACGTGGTGGATAAAAAACTGCGCTTCCCGTTCTTGTCCGGTCAGGTTCGTCGGCGGATCCACCGGATCTGTCCGGAAACGGTGCCGGAGGCCGCTCTGGGCTCCTCTGGGCACCTCCCCCGGGGCCGGTTTTGTGAGGATGTCTTACGCGAGGGCGCCGGTTTGGGATTCGTCGGCGGATCCACCGGATCTGTCCGGAAACGGTGCCGGAGGCCGCTCTGGGCTCCTCTGGGCACCTCCCCCGGGGCCGGTTTTGTGAGGATGTCTCAAGCGAGGGCGCCGGTTTAGGATTCGTCGGCGGATCCAGCGGATCTGTCCGGAAACGGTGCCGGAGGCCGCTCTGGGCTCCTCTGGGCACCTCCCCCGGGGCCGGTTTTGTGAGGATGTCTCAAGCGAGGGCGCCGGTTTGGGATTCGTCACCGGATCCAGCGGATCCAGCGGATCCACCGGATCTGTACGGAAACGGTGCCGGAGGCCGCTCTGGGCTCCTCTGGGCACCTCCCCCGGGGCCGGTTTTGTGAGGATGTCTCAAGCGAGGGCGCCGGGTTGGGATTCGTCGGCGGATCCAGCGGATCTGTCCGGAAACGGTGCCGGAGGCCGCTCTGGGCTCCTCTGGGCACCTCCCCCGGCGCCGGTTTTGTGAGGATGTCTCAAGCGAGGGCGCCGGTTTGGGACTCGTCACCGGATCCACCGGATCTGTCCGGAAACGGTGCCGGAGGCCGCTCTGGGCTCCTCTGGGCACCTCCCCCGGGGCCGGTTTTGTGAGGATGTCTCAAGCGAGGGCGCCGGTATGGGATTCGTCGGCGGATCCACCGGATCCACCGGATCCACCGGATCTGTCCGGAAACGGTGCCGGAGGCCGCTCTGGGCTCCTCTGGGCACCTCCCCCGGGCCCGGTTTTGTGAGGATGTCTCAAGCGAGGGCGCCGGTTTGGGATTTTTTTTTCGGGGGGTGTGTCGGGGGGGGGGGGGCCCGGAGCCACCGGATCTGTCCGGAAACGGTGCCGGAGGCCGCCTCTGGGGCTCCTATGGGCACCTACCCCGGGGACGTTTTTGTAGGATGTCTTAAGCGAGGGCGCCGGTTTGGGATTCGTCGGAGGTTCACACAGGATCTCTGTCAGGAAACGGTGCCGGAGGCGCTATGGGCTCCTCTGGGCACCATCCCGGGGCGGTTTTGTGAGGATGTTCTTAAGCGGAGGGCGCCGTTGGGATTCGTCGGCGACCGGATCCACCGGATTGTCCGGATCCGTCTGGAAACGGTGCGGGCGGACGGCCGCTCTGGGCTCCTTGGCACCGACCCACGGGGCAGGTTTGTGAGGATGTCTTCAGAGAGGGCCGCCGGGTTGTGATTCGTCGGCGAATCCACCGGATCTGTCCGGAAACGGTGCCGGAGGCCGCTCTGGGCTCCTCTGGGCACCTCCCCCGGGGCCGGTTTTGTGAGGATGTCTCAAGCGAGGGCGCCGGTTTGGGATTCGTCGGCGGATCCACCGGATCTGTCCGGAAACGGTGCCGGAGGCCGCTCTGGGCTCCTCTGGGCACCGCCCCCGGGGCCGGTTTGTGAGGATGTCTCAAGCGAGGGCGCCGGTTTGGGATTCGTCGGCGGATCCACCGGGATCTGTCCGGAAACGGTGCCGGAGGCCGCTCTGGGCTCCTCTGGGCACCTCCCCCGGGGCCGGTTTTGTGAGGATGTCTCAAGCGAGGGCGCCGGTTTGGGATTCGTCGGCGGATCCAGGATCCACCGGATCTGTCCGGAAACGGTGCCGGAGGCCGCTCTGGGCTCCTCTGGGCACCTCCCCCGGGGCCGGTTTTGTGAGGATGTCTCAAGCGAGGGCGCCGGTTTGGGATTCGTCGGCGGATCCACCGGATCTGTCCGGAAACGGTGCCGGAGGCCGCTCTGGGCTCCTCTGCTCCCCGCGCCGGGGGTGAGGATGACGGTAGTTTCACAGAAACTCCCTCAAATCACCAGCGCTGTTTGCATCACCTGTCGTCGAGGAAACAATGCCCTCGTGGCCCCTTGGGGGTCTTGTTCAGTCACGCGTCATATGATCGGAACGATGGCCAATGACTCTGGGCGTCGGGGAGGGCGCTGCCTCTGGGAAGGCTTCGGAAGCTCTGCCTCGGCTCCGCCAAGGCTGGTGATCCGTTCCGAAGCCTGAACGCCACGGTAAGATCCATGGAATAGCAAAGCTTCGTCAGCTCCGGCTCATGATCTTCTCGCCGTTCTGACTGCGAGAAGGCACCGAACTCCATTCAGACAGGAAACACAACGAGTGCAATCGATCAAGTAGGAAGAGCATCAAGCCGGAACATCTCGTGATCGACGGATCATACCTGCCGCTCGCCTGCACTTGTGGTCAGTAGCACCACGTAACTTTCCACACATCCTCACGCGAGGCGATAAGCATCGACCGATGATGCCGTCTTTGTGAGTTCCCTCTCCGTTTAATTGGCCATCCCGTCTGAAACTACCAAGCCACAGATGACGTTGCGCGTTGTAGTATTCGCTGATGAGAGGAGAATGATACATGCATCGCACGTGTGGGAAGCGGAAGAGAAGGTGGACCTCAATGTATAGCAAGTATGCACTAATGCCACTGACACACACACACATCCTGTCAATGCGCACCTAATCCGCCGCTGCTCCCACCCCACCATAGGACACGGAACAACATGCGCGAGAAAAAGATCCGAGAGCCCTGCGCTTACCTGTTCACTGTCCAGGGCCGAATCGGATGCCGACCAATGCTCTGAAGCTTGCGATTGGCGGCTCCCGTTGAGACGCGCCCACCTCTGCCTCGTCGTCGATCGGCTTGCCCAGCACGGTGGGCCCCAATCCGTCCGCCTTCGCGCGGGCCGCAAACAGGAGGAGGAGGAGGAAGAGGAGGAGGAGGAGGCGGAGGAGGAGGAGGAGGAGGAGGAGGAGAAGGAGGAGGAGGAGGAGGAGGAGGAGGAGGAGGAGGAGGGTAGAAGAAGGAAGAGGAGGAAGGACGAGGAGGGGGAGGAGGAGGAGGAGGCGGAGGGGGGGGAGGAGGAGGAGGAGGAGGAGGAGGAGGAAGAGAGGAGGAGGGAAAGAAAGAGGGAGGAGGAAGAGGAGGAGGGGGAAGAAGGATGGGGAGGAGGAGGAGGAGGAGGAGGAGGAGGAGGAAGAAGAAGAAGAAGAAGAGGAAGAGGAGGAGGATCATCCGAGATCGCCGCTGCCTGGTGGTGGACCCCGCCCACGGACCTGCGCTGGGGCACTCCCCTGACTTTCCGCCTCCTCATTTTGGGTGCGTGGGGCGCGAGCAAGAGTCACGGGAGGAGGAGGAGGGAGGAGGAGGAGGAGGCGGAGGAGGAGGACGAGGAGGAGGAGGAGGCGGAGGCGGAGGGCGGAGGCGGAGGTGGAGAGGAGGAGGAGGAGGGAAAGAGGAGGAGGAGGAGGGGCAAGAGGAGGAGGAGAGGAGGAGGAGGAGAGGAGGAGGAGGAGGAGGGAGGAGGAGGAGGAGGAGGAGGAGGAGGAGGAGCAAGAGTCACCTCAAGCCGCCCCTCTGCCAAGATCTGCGCGCAAGCAACACAGATCTGTATGCCCGGGTGCTGCTACGGCAGGTTCGTGCCGTGTCCTCCTGGGCGTTGGTTCCTAGCACCGCGGGGATCGTTCAACTTTGAACGATCGGCCGTTCCCGCAACGTCCGATCGTTCAACATCGACCGATTCTGGACCGACGCTGGCGTTCAACGTTGAACGCTGGCGGCGGTGCCGCCGCCGGTCGACACGACACGAACCAACCGTACCCTGCTCGCCGAGGCAGCACCTCGACGAACTTCGGTGCGCGTGCTCCGACAGAGGAAAAACGCACAGCCCCACCGATCGACGATCGGAACTGAATCTGCCCGAGGGGAGAGCACGCCCGGAATGAACTCGCCCCTCTCGCCGAGGACTGCGCCAAGCACGGCTCACCGCCTGCGACTTGGGGGGACATCACCACAAAAAAATACAGCTTCGCCGACCCCTCGGGGTCACTTCGCCTGTGAAATGTTGTCCCTCCAACAACCCCTCCCTGCACGGTTCCCCCCTGGGGCCGTAGGCGACCCGAGGAGAAGGAGGAGGAGGAGGAGGAGGAGGAGGAGGAGGAGGAGGAGGAGGAGAAGGTGGAGGAGGAGGAGGAGGAGGAGGAGGAGGAGGAGGAGGAGGAGGAAGGAGGCGGAGGAGGAGGAGGAGGAGGAGGAGGAGGAGGAGGAGGAGGAGGAGGAGGAGGAGGAGGAGGAGGAGGAGGAGGAGGAGGAGGAGGGAAGAGGAGGAGGAGGGAGAGGAGAGGAGGAGAGGAGGAGGAGGAAGAGGAGAGGAGGAGGAGAGGGAGGAGGAGGCGGAGGAGGAGGAGGAGGATAGGAGGAATAGGAGGAATAAGGAGGAGGAGGAGGAGGAGGAGGAGGAGGAGGAGGAGGAGGAGGAGGGGAGGAGGAGGAGGGAGGAGGAGGAGGAGGAGGAGGAGGAGGGGGAGGAGGAGGAAGAGGAGGAGGACAAGGAGTAGGAGTAGGAGTAGGAGTAGGAGGAAGAGGAGGAGGAGGAGGAGGCGGAGGAGGAGGAGGAGGAGGAGGAAGAGGAGGAGGAGGAGGAAGAGGAGGAGGAGGACGGGTCGCCTAAGCCCTTCGGAGAAACCTTCCACCCCTCCCTAGGGAGCTCGGTCCGGCCGGTTTGGAGAGGGGGTGGGTGGAAGATTGCCGTGCTGGCGGTGTGGCGGCGGTTTCGGACCCCGCTCACGGACGGGCTCCGACGGCTTCGGCACAGCCTCCGCGGCCTCCGAATTTCCTCGCCGTGTTCTCCGCGTGGCCCCAGCCAAGGCCGCGCTGACGGCGCGCTTGGTCAACGGTGCGACTGGGGATCTCATTTTGTGACACCGAACTCACACGTAGCCAAACGTAGAAACCACGAAGAACCATGTCAAACATGCGACTGTATCGAACGACGACGACTCAGCGACTTGTAGGACAAGTGGTTGGGCCACGAACCGCGCTTCCCTACAATATGTTTTCCTGCGTCGTCATTAGCTAACACACTGTTAGCGCGTCTACGGCCCAGATGGCACCAATAAGTCCCAGCGTGGTTCTATAGCAGCTCTGGAAGCTTCGAACATGTCTCTAGTCAACTTTGGACGACCCTGACGAAGGCACCAACAAAAGCAACAATCATGGGATCCGCGGGAACAAAGGCAGCGCGCAGATAACAAACGTGGGGCGAATGACCTGGCATGATGCACGCCTTTTTGACATCGGGCTAGCGCCGTAACATCACGGAAGTTTCTCAATTGCTTCGCCAGCCAGCGCCGGTAGAAGTGCAATCAGAACCTTCAAAATTACCATGCACAGATCATCTGCGGTGTGTGGCGGAGGGCGGGTGGGAGCTTGAACAAAAACAGTTTCGGCGCGGATGGAGGAAGCAATGCCAGGGGAGCGGGCAAGTGTGACGCACTCGTCAGCTCGGAAACTCCCGAGGCCACTCGTGCATAGGATAACATCAGAGCCAGATCGTTCCTACCTTGATAGCGCGGCATCCCCATGGGGTCGACGGAAACAGCGACGGCCACATATCAAAAGCGTTGGGCGAGCGACCTGGCACGATGCGCACCTTTTGACATCGGGCAAACGCCGTGGCATCACGGATATTTCTCGGTTGCCTTGCCGGCCAACGCCAACATAAGTGCAATTGCAACCTTCACCATTGCAGCGCGCAGATCATCTGCGCCCAGTCCCCATCCTCAAATGCCCATGGGCGGACGGGTGGGTTGAAAGCTCTCAGGCGCAGTGAATGCAGAGGTGGGCCAGGAGAGACGAGAGTAGGAGGCGCGCGCGCGTCTGAGGGTGCCGCGGATGGCAGCGACATTGAATCGGGTCGCTAGTGCTATCTGAGATTCGTGAGATTTGTCCTCTGACAAAGAGCTGAGCCGTGCTTTACATATGTTTGACACTTTCTCACGCGCGCCAGCGCCCGCTTTTGATGAATGGCTTGGATGGGCCCGACCTGGCGCGCGGCACCGCGTGGCGGCCTTGTGGCCAAGCTGGTGCAACATTGGACGCGAGATCGCCGACTCTTTTGCCGACTGGGCAGCCAACCTCAAGGTCTCCTCAGACAACGGCATAGTCGAGGGATGGAAAAGAGTGGGCAGCTTCAGGCCCCGCGCGGGGGAGGCCCGAGGCCTGGGCAGGATGTCGGGGGCCGCGCGTCGGGCGGGCAGGCCGTCCACCAGCGGCGCCGCGACAGCAGTGATGTCCGCTGAGCTGCCGGAGGTGCGGGGGCCGAAGACGCGCTCGGGCTGCAAACCGAGGCCGCTCCTCGGACCGCCCGCGAACTTGCGCAGGCCGCGCCGTGCGTTGCTAGCCAAGCGCTGTGGCTCTCACAATGCAAGTTGAGCGCGCCGTCGGCCACGGTCGGTGCGGTCAGCAGCAGGCCGCAGCAGGCCACGTCGCTGAACAGAAACGGTCAGCGCGATCATGGCGGACGTGCAGCTGTCGACTATGGCCGGCCTCAGAGCGGCCAGCCCGAGCGGCTCGGCCGTGGCCTCCAGGGCGTCGGCGCCAGGCGTCGCCCGAGGCCGCCAGCGCGGCCGGGCGCCTCGCCCAGGGTGGAACGCCGCGGGCGCGATGGCGCGCGGGGGCGAGGGCGCCCGGCCCGCGCGCGGCCCGGCCCCAGCGCCAGCGCCCTCGCGGGCGCGGGTCGAGCGCCGTGGCCCAGCCTGGTCTCCAAGGGAGCCGAAAGCGCTGTGGGCAGAAGGGCGCCGCGACCTCCCCGGGCTCACTGACCCGCCGTGCTCGCCAGCGCGTGGGCCCGAGCCTGGAGGCCCTCCCGCGTCGACCGCCCGAACGCGCCTCGATGGGCGTCGGGCCAGCCAGCGAGACCAGCAAGCGGCGCCAGCTGGGCAGGTAGGCCCCTGCCAACGTTGTGCGCCGCGCTCAGCCTCCCGTCGAGTGCTTGACCTTGCCCTGCAGCTCCGCCCTGTGGCGGCGCCCGCAGCGGCAACGGAGGGGCGGTCCGTCCTGCGCGGGAAGGCCCCCCGCGATCGCGCCCGGCTTCTTGAAGAGCGCCCCGAACCTGCGCGAGTCGAACATCACTTTCGGCCAGGAGAGGCGTCGCAGCTCCTGCTCCAGCGCTGGCCACCTCCCAGCCCGGCTCGCAGGCGGGCTCTCGAAAATTATGAAAACGCCCGCGGCCCGGCACAACCGCGGGGCGCGGGCCGCGAAGGCGACCGGCGTGTGGTCCGCAGGCGACGGCTCACGATCGCCTCCGACGGGGGCCCACCTTGCGCAAGGCAAGCCCAGGTGGACCCGGCGAGCCTCGCTGGTTTTGAACCAGTTTTCAAGGGACGCTGTACTCGATGGTTTCTGAAGTCACCGTGGGGCCCATGCTTCGAGCCCGTCGGGGGCACGATCCGAAACCCGCGCTCATGCAACGCACCGCTGAGATTTGCCGTCCCCGCGAAGATCTCCAGGAAGGCCTTCCGAGGACAATCCTGCTTCCTACTTGGAGGTGTCCAGTGCAGCTCAGGTTGTGCAGGTTGACCAAGGGGGCTCCCGTGGGGGACTCCAGGTGGCCCATCATGTTCACGCAGGTCCCGTTGAGGAGAGGATCTTCAGGTGGCTCAGGGGGTCCATGTGGGCCCCGTTGAGGACCTCCGGGTAGCCCGCGTGCGCCAATTGGGGCCTCGAACTCGCTCGGGTCGAACCGATTCGGGCCAGTGGTCAAGTCGTACTTTTGGATTTTCATCCAGATGCGTTCTATACAGCCCAAGAGAGAAATACGTAGACGTGGAAGGATGAAGAGACGAGGGGGAGCCGACGCATCGGTCTCTGATGGTGTTTTCAGGCCCCACGAACTCGACCTGCTCTGCTCCGATCTCATTCTCGATGGCCGCGGCAAGCGATGACGCGACGCTGCTTGCGGCCGGCGGGCCCGCGGGCGTCTGGCGGCTCCGCTCGGTTGGCGCCGAGAGGGCCCCGCGCCCTCGATAGCGCCCGGCGAAGAGCTCGCCCCGATCGGCCGCGCGGCTCCCGTGGTCCGCGACGTTGTAGATGCCGGGCGCATGCCTTGGGCGCCCGCGGATCTCGCGCTCGAGGCAGACCGCCGCCGCTTGGCGGCGCTGCGCCAGGAGCTCACAATTGGCGCCCCCCCCCTTCTCGAAGGCCAGGACGGACGACGTGCTGTCGCGCAGGCTGAGGATCTCCTTCCCGCGGAAAGCGACGTCGCCCGCCGCGACGGCGCGACGGCGGCCCGCGCCTCCAGAGCGCGGATCTGGCGCGGGCGCCGCCGCGCGCGCCGCCGGCGCTCGACCGACCCAGCGGCTGGCGTCCAGCGGCGCCTCCGCCAGAGGCTCTGGGGGCGCTCCGATCTCCAGCTCGACGCGCCGCCTCTTGGCCGTCGCGCGTCGCAGTCGCGGCGGCGGCTCGAGCGGTGGCGGGTCGGGCAGGTCGCCGAACCCAGCGGCGCGGTCTTTGTGCAGTTTGTTGTCGGGTTCCAACTCGACATCGGCGGGGGCGAACCGCGGCCGCTCCCGTCACCTGGCGGTGGCGAGGGACCCCATCGGCTCCAGGCGGGCCTCGCAGACGGCGCAGCTGCGCAGCGAGCTGTCGGTCGTGAAGGCGACGTCGGACGGCGCGCGGCACAGGTCCACCTCGCCTGGGAAGACGAAGCCCGCAGCGACGGCGTGCTCCCCCAAGACGCCCCGCGGCGGCCGGGTGACGGGGGCTGGCCCGCTGGGCCCAGGGCGCGCCGCAGAGAAGTAGTGCGCCAAGTGGCCGACAATGCGCTGCATCTGCCAGCGGGCCAGCCGGGGCTCGCGCAGCACTTTGGTGGGGCGCGAAGTATAGCCCCCAGGCCCGCTTGGCCCTGTGCCCGAGGCGCCCTCCGCGCCCGTCGAGCGCCATCTCGAAGACGACGAGGCTGGGTTCGGCGCGCTCTAGCTCGCGCCAGCGTCTCTAGGCGGGCGTCGAGCGCCGGCGCGCTGAGCGAGACGAGATCCCCGCTGTCGACGAGCGGCGCCGGGGCGGCGGCCTGCCCAACAAGGGTCGGGGCGCGCGGCCTCGTCGAAGCGCCAGCCGTCGCCCAGGAGGCCCGCCTCGTCCATGGCGTCGACGAGGGCCTCGCGGCAAATCCAGAGCGCCCAGCTCAGCTCAGCGCCGCGAAGCAGGGCCAGATGACGTGACGTGGTCGCCGTTGACGGCCACGCGGCGGCGCAGCTTCTCGTCGTAGATCGAGTCGAGCCCGAGCTCGTCGGCGGTGGCCTCGATGTCGAAGCACGTCCAGCTACCCCGGGACGGGTCGGCGAACTGGTGGAACCCGCCCATGAGATCGACTGTGCCAGCGCAGCGAGTCGCGGCAGCCATCGAAGTCAGCCAAGTCCTCGGAGCTCGCATCGACGGCGTCGAACAAGTTGATGGAGCCGAGGGCCTCCTCGGACGCCAGCGCGGTCCGACGCGGGAGCTTGCGTAGCTGGTTGGCCTGGCGCGCGCCTGCGGCCCCCATGCGGATGTCCCCGTTCTTCTCGGCGACAAAGACGGTGCTGACGCACGCGTTCCGCCGCTCCCGACCGCCCGCAAAACCGCGCTCAGCCAGTCGTCGAAGAAAGTCGACCAGCCGCGGTCGGTTGCGGGTGTCATGAGGGTTGAAGAGAAGGTCCCCGTAAGGCTCGACGATGGCCTCATTCTCGGGGATGTTGAGCCTGGGCCGAACGACGCCCGAGTCGATGTGGTCCAGCGTCTCGGAGACGCGCCGAGAGGCGACGCCCTGCTGCAGCTGGCGAGGCCGTTCATCAGGTGGCCGCCGCGCGCGTTGAGCGCGTCGGCATCGTAGGCGCGGCGACTAGTGGCCTCGCCTATGTTCGAGTAAAGATCCCCGCGCTCGAGGAGCTCCTGGGGGGCCCCAGCATAGTCCATGCTCTTCTGAAAGGGGCCCTGGGATACACAAATAGATACACACAAATAAAAGGATTCCCAACATTTTACAATAGTTTCTGGGTTGTTGTCTCCCCCCCACTTCCCAAATTTCCCATATTTCTCTGGAAGTCGACGATTAAGTGTGTCTGTGTGTTTTTTCCCCTAATGATCTTCGGGCGTTCACCGAATCCGCGGGCGCGACGTCGGACCCGCTTGATGACCGACTCCTGGGCTGTAGTCGGCCGATGCTTGTCGGGCCAGGGCCGGGCCGAGTGAGGCCAGGCGGAGAGCCCGGCCACGGTGGCGCCGACATGGCGCTGTCAGCCCTGATCCTTCCCGGCGGTCCTCGTCGTCGCCTTGCCTCTCGCACCTCTTCGCCTTCGACTCCTGCCTCTCGCGGTGCAGGCGCTCCTGCTTGTTTTGCCCTGTGACTTCTGCTCCTCGGCCGCGGGCGCGCTGAAATTCGGCGTCGCGGCCCGTCCGCTCTCGCCCAAAGGGCCGCCCAGCATCGGCCCGGGCCCCTCGGAGCTCAGGCGGCCCGCGCACCTCTTCACGGCCCGATGGGTCTGCAGCGCCCGACGGCCCAGCGGCTCCAGCGACGCTGGGCTGGGCGGGTCCACGAGGTCGCGCGTCTCAGCATGGTGCAGGACGCTCTGCACATGCTTCAACTCCTGTTCGAGATGAGGTTGGGGCCCGTCGCGACTACAGTGGTCAGCAGCTCGGAATGCGCCTTCGGCACGTTCCCGACCGAGATCCCGCCCTCGTCTGCGTTGAACATGGCGACCCCGACCGCGTCGCGGCCGGCCAGCCGCTCGGGGGCGACCGCGAGGTAAACGTTTAGCTTTTCTCCGAACTCGGTCGACCCCGGGTCCGAGACGATCCAGCGAGGCACGGCGGCACCTCGGGCAGCGGTGGGCACCTGGGCGCCCATGGCGGTCGCCAGCCCGTGGGCCTCCACCCTCAGCGCCTCGATGTCATCGTCGCTCCACCCCCCGAACGCGTAGACCAGACCGCGGACCTGAGGCGGGAACGCCGCCGCGCGTCGGAGGGCCATGACCAGGTCCCCGCTGATATCCAGGACGAGGGCCTCGCCGTCCGTGATGGCGAACGCCCCTCCCCTGGGACTCATCTGCGCGAGCAACGGCCGGAGGGGCCATCTGAAGTACACGTCCTCGTCGAAGTTGACATTCTCCGGAGACTCGAAGACGTCCAGGGTGAGCTGCGCCTTGACGACTGTGAGCCAGCTCACGCGCGCACCGCGCGAGAGCCCCGCCTCGCTCCCCGCTGCTCGAGGCCGTCGCCCTCCACGACCAGGGCACGGAGAGCCGCGCCGCCCCGGCGCCGCCCCGACGGGCCGCCGGCGCGCACCGCGGCCCAGCTGGCCGCGCCCAGCAGGCCGCGCGAGCCCGCCTCCGTCGACCACGCGGCCAGCGGCCAGGGCGGCGGCCGCCGCCCGCCAGCCCGACCCGCTCCCGCAGGACCAGCTGCACGGCGGGCCGCTCGGGCAGCTCGTGCCACATGGTCGCGAGCGGCGGCGGGCAGGAGCAGGGTCCCGCGGGTGGCCGCCGGCGGCGGCGGCGGGCGCTCGCTTCGGGGGCGGCCAGGAGGGGGGCGTCCAAGAGGGGGGGGTGCAAATCATGGCCGGCGGCATATGCTCGGCCCAGAGGGGGGCCAGGGACGTAATGGAACAAGAAGAGGCGCCATGAAATCTGGGGAAACATCGTGGCCCACGCCATGAGATCCACCCCCCCTAGTCCCCCCCCCCCTCTCTGCCGCCCCCGAGCTGTGGGCCCGAGCCGCACGTCACCCGAGCCTCCGGGCCAAGCGGCCGCTGCGAATCCCACGCGATCGCCACAGAGGCCGTCCAACGGCCGGCCGCGGCTCCCAGGGCGACCCTCGACGACTGGGGGACCCTGAAGATTAGTGCTTGAGCAGGAGCGGTTTCGGCGCGGAGGGAGACAGCAACACCAGGAGCGCGGGCAAGAGTGATGCACTCCTCAGCTCAGAACCTCCTGAGGCCACTCGTACATAGGAAAAAGAGTCAGAGACAAATCGAAGCAATACCCCCCTAACAACATGAACAAATGATCGAAACAAACATCGTCCCCCGACAATTTTGGACCATGTTGAAATTTTCCTCCTGTAGAGGGTCATGCCCGACTTAACCCTGGCGGGTGGGTGGGGGGGCGCGCGGATCGAGGACCCTGATCAGAACACGTGTTGGCGCCAACGTTTGGGCACTCGCGCATGAGGACTTCCTCAGAAGAAGAAATCGCCATAAACATGAACTTTTGGCACTCCGCGCCGATTTCTTGGATCTGCGCTGGACCCCCCTCCTTGGCGCGCGGAGCGCGCCAGGGGCGGCGCCGGAGGCGCCGCCGGGGCAGCCCCAGCGCGGATCCAAGAAATCCGCGCGGAGCGCCGAAAGTTTATGTCGATGGCGTCTTTTCTTCTTCGATTCCTGTCCTGAGCGCGGTCTCCCTTCCCCCTGGCGCCCCCTCCGCCCCGCGCCGCGCCCGCTTCGGTCCCTCGCCTCGCCTCGGAGCGCCCCTCGCCCCGCCTCGCAGGCGGCTCGGCCCCCCGCCATACGCAGCGGGCGGTGATGCAGCGAGGGTCGACACGTCGTCTGCGCGCGCTACCGGCGGAACGGCACGAGGGACCACGCACACATCGGGCCGACGCGAGCCCACGGAGGCCCCTCGAGCGGGCAGCGGCGGCGGCCGCCTCCTCGTCCTCCGAGTCGGTCTCCGTTCCTCCCCCGGGGCGCCGGCGGCGGCGAGCGGTGGTCGTGCCGGCCGCGGGGGGGGGGGCGGGGGGGGGAGAGGGCCCAGGCCATCTCGAGTCACGCACACATCACGACGGGGAGTTTTTCCGTAGTTCCCCCTCCCCCCCTCCTCCCCCCCCCTCGGGGAGCCCTCGCGCGGCCCTGGGGCCGTCAACGGAGCGGTTCAGGATGAAGAGCCTGTCCCAGGGAATGGGTCGAAGGAGGAGGAGGAGGAGGAGGAGAAGCAGAAGGAGAAGGAGGAAGAGAAGGAGGAGGAGGAGGTGGAGAAGGAGACGGATAATAATAATAATAACAATGATAATAATAATAATATTAACAATAATAAGAATACTAATACTAATACGAATACTAATACTAATACTAATATTAATACTAATACTAACAATGCTAATAATAATGGTAATAATATTCATACTAGTAATAATATTAGTAGTAGTAATAATAATACTGATACTAATGATAGTAGTAATAATGATAATACTACTAATACTAAAAATAATAATACAAGTGCTAGTAATAGTACTAGTAATAAAAATAATATTAATAGTAATCATAATAACAATAAAAATACTAATAATACCACTATTAAAAATAGTAGTAGTACCAACACTAATAACAATACTACTGATAACAATAAGGATAATACAACTACTAATAATACTATCAATAATAATAGTAATAATAATAGTATTGATAATAGTAATCATAATAATAATAATGATGATGATGATAATAATAATAATGGTAATAATACTAATAATAATAATAATAATAATAGTACTACTAATAATAATAATAACAATAATACGAATAATACTAATAATGCTGGTAGTAAAAAAATAATAACAATAATAGTATTACTACTACTAATAATAGTAATACTAATAATGCGACTAATAATAATGAGGAGGAGGAAGAGGAGGAGGAGGAGGAGGAGGAGGAGGAGGAGGAGGAGGAGGAGGAGGAGGAGGAGGAGGAGGAGGAGGATAGGGGACGCATGGAGGGATGGAGGGAGTGACCTCTGGGGGTCGACGCTCTGACAAAAATTACGACGTCCTCTGGGGGTCTCTGACAAAAATTACGACGTCGGGGGTCTGGGGGGCGGCCCCTCTTCCTCGTGCCCGTCCCCAGAAATCCTCCAGTAGGATTTTCGGTTGCGACTCATGGGAGCCTCCCATGCCATCTTGCCCGCTCTTGCGAATCGACGCGCTACTCGACGCTGCATCGGCGCTGCACCGACGCCAACTTGGCGCCATCTCATCGATCCCCAGACACTAATCGACGCTAGTCAACGCTGAAGACGGACTTAAGCGGGTATATCAGGCTTCCATGGAAAAGGAGGAGGATGCGGAGGAGGAGGAGGAGGAGCAGGAGCAGGAGGAGGGGGATGAGGGGAGGCGGAGAAGGGGAAGGAGGAGGAGGAGAGGTACGGAGGAGGGGGAGGAGAGGAGGAGGAGGAGGAGGAGGAGGGAGGAGGAGGAGGAGAGGAGGAGTAGGGGAGGAGGAGAAGGGACGGAGGAGGAGGAGAGGGGAGGAGGAGGAGGAGGAGGAGGAGGAGGAGGAGGAGAAGGAGGCTTCCATGATCTGTTGCCGCATCGGATTTCTCTTCACCCTGGGGCCCTGGAGAGCTCCCGGCTGGTACCTCCGCGTCGGGGGCAGTTTCTCACCCTGGATCAATTTTTTGGGTGGCCCTTTGGCCCGATGATGACGGACCCCAGGGGACCGCAAAATCGAGAGAGAAGTCATGCTGCCAGAGATCTCTGGGTCCCTTGCCCTGCTCGCCCTCCTCCTCCTCCTCCTCTTCCTTCTCCTCCTCCTCCATCTCCTCCTCCTACTTCCTCCTCCTCCTCCCTCCTCCATCTCCTTCTCCTCCCTCCTCCTCCTCGTCTTCCTCCCACTCCTCTTCTCTCTCTTCCTCCATCCTCCTCCTCCTCCTCCTCCTCTCCTCCATCCTCTTCCTCCTCCTCCTCCTCCTCCTCCTCTTGCGCCGCTTCCCACCTGCTCCTCGCAGAGGCCGCCCCGCCCTCGCGCTCCGTTTGTCCGCTCCGCTCGTGCCTACACACCCTGAATTCGAATGCCCCTGCCGCCTGCCCTGGGCTGTGCGCCCGTGGCCGGTGCGGCCGAGCATCCCCGCTTCGCTTGCCGATCCGACAGAGTCTGGAACACCGCTCTGCGACACAAGCGGATTACAGCCATCGTGGTACAATAGGGAACGCCACATGAGGAACGAAGGTTCTTTGTTTTGGCCACGGCGAGCTTAGGTCACTAACAGGTTCCCCGGCCCAGATCTACGGAACGGCCCGAATACCAGAGCCCCTCCTGAGCCCAAAGCGGTCCCTATCTCAGGGCATTGACTGGACAGACTGGACATTGGCGCGCAGCCAGCATGCTTCAATACATGCAGTGCGTTTCACGGCCTTCCTGTCCTGTGTGTCGTGCACTCGTTTTGAATCCGCAACGACGCGTCTCCTTCCTTCCCTCTGGCCTCTGCCCCCCCCGCTCCTCCTGCTCAACGCACGCCCTAGCCATCTCGGCACACCCCATCGCACGCTTCGTGGCCGCACAAGGAGCTCCACCTGCGGTCGCAGTGGCCACGACCGCATGGCGTCACCGCGCCTATTTCGGCACACCCTTCACACCTCTCGCGGCCCCACAGGAAACTCCTCCCACGGCCTTAATGGGACCACATGGCGTCCCCGCGCCCATTTCGGCATACTCCTCACACGCTTCCTGGCCCCCAAGAAGGAATTACTTTACCTACGGTCTCAGTGGCCACGACCGCATAGCGTCCCCGAACCCATGTCGGCACAATCCGCACGCGCTTCGTGCCCCCACAAAAAGCTTACCTACGGGCTCAGTGGGCGCGTCCGCATGCGGAGCCACGCCCTTTCTGGCACACCCCTCATACGCTCCGCGGCCAGATAGGGAGCTCCACCTACGTTCGCAGTGGGCGCGCCCGCATGCAAATCCTGGCCCCTGTGGGCGCGCCTCTCACGCGGATCGTGGCCCAACACGGTTCATAGATGGACAAACTGTTGCACCACCCAGTGCTGTTGCGTCGCGCTTTTTAACTAGTGTTTGCTTTTGGTACCACTCTGCCCCCAAATTTCACCTTGGCTATTGTCTAGGGTCGCCGAAACTAGCCCCGACAATCCCCACAGCTTCTCCCCCTCGCCACCAATAGCAAATTCGAGGGATGGAAGGACAACGTGGGTAGCGCAATCGTTTGCCGATGTACGGCAACGAACTCCACCCATGGTCTCACTTGGCCCGTGCGAGTGCAGGCCCGCGCTCTTCTCGGTCAGTACAGCCCTCAAGCGGATGGTGGCCCCATGGGGTGCTCTAATAGGCGGCGCCTCTGGCGCCGCCCCTGGCGCGCTCAACGCGCCAGGGAGGGGGGTCCAGCGCCGATCCGAGAAATCCGCGCGGACCTCCGAGTTTTTATGTTTATGTCACTTGTTGTTCCCCTATATAACCAAGGTTTCAGTGGGCGCGTCCGCATGCGTGTGGACGCCCATCGCCCATCTGCCCCTCGCGCGCTGCGCGGCCCGATGGGGCGCTCCCCCTACGGGGTCCCCCAGAGGGCGCGTCCAAGGTGCGGGCCCGCGCCCATCTTGACACACACCGAACGCCTCGCCTGCAGTTCCCAATGGGCGCGTCCGCACGCGGGCCCATGCCAATTTCGGTATACACACACACGCACCTCACACGCTTCGTGCCCGGAGGAGGAGTTCCACTTACGGCCCCCATCTGAGCGTCCGCGTGCACCCCCCCGCCCATTTCGGCACACCCCTCGCATCGCATACCTCTTTCTCCCACGTGGAACCCCAGCTCCGGCCCCAGCTGCGTTCCGGCACGCTCCTCGTTGACACCCTTGTAAGGGGGTCCCCCATAGGGAGCTCCACCTCTGGCCCCAGTGAGGGGGTTCGTATGCGGCCTCCCCCGCCCATTTCGGCACAGCCTCCTCGTGGATCGCGGCCCAAGGCGACCCCAACTCAAGCCATCCCGCGGCGCGTGGGGGAGGAGGAGGAGGAGGAGGAGGAGGAAGAGGAGGAGGAGGAGGAGAAGGAGGAGGAGGAGGAGGAGGAGGAGGAGGAGGAGGAGAGGAGAAGAGAAGAAATAGAAGTAGGAGAATAGAGAGGAGGAGGAGGAGGAGGAGGAGGAGGAAGAGGAGAAGGAGGAGGAGGAGGAGGAGGAGGAGGAGAAGGAAGGGAGGAGGAGGAGGAGGGAGGAGGAGGAGGAGGAGGAGGAGGAGGAGGAGGAGGAGGAAGAGGAGGAAATGAGAGCTGCGAGCTATCCGACATAGACGTCCAAGGAAAGGACACTCATGGTTGTGCCGCTCAGTACTGCAAGAAACATAGGCCACGAGAGTTGCAATCGCTGGGCTAACGCTGAAGCCTGCGGGTCACGCGGCTGCCGCAGATGAATCCCTCCAACCCACGAAATGTACGTTGATCACTCCCTCAACACCAAGCGAGAACAACATTCTGACATAAAAACCCAATCCACCACGCAGAACAAAGCGTATGAACAATACCGCGAAGTCGAGGTGATACACCGTAGCAACCGCGCAGCTGCGCCGTCATGCAACCCACCCACTAGACACCACGGGGTAGACTGGGGACCACCGTGGCACTACGCACGATGTTCTGGAAAACTGTGAGCCAAGTGGCCAAAACACGCATGACCGCAGTGCTGTAACATAACACGTATAATCCAATTCCAATGAACCAACCATCCACTGATGCACGGCTCAAAGTACGGACGGCCGGCACGTTCCCATCCGAGCAAAAAGCGAAAGGCGGAATCCAAAGGCCACCAACAATGCACGGCTCAGAATACGGACGGCCGGCACGTCCCCATCCCACGAACCAAGAGGGCGCCTGCACTGACAGCAAAAGATTGAAGTACGATCTGAAATACTGCAGCCACTGTTCTTTGCCACCGCTGGCCCACGACAGCAATGAACTGATGACACGCCGACGGGCCGCGTCTTGCTCCCACCTGCCTTCCTGCTGTCGCCAAACGTTCTTCTCGCACGTACTCATCCGAGCATTGTAGCTGATGCAGTCGGCTTCACGCCTACCCATCTGCCTCTGCAGCGAGAAACCGCTTTCTCTGATTGCCGTTCTCGCACGTGCTGGAGAAAGCGTTGTAGCTGATGACGGTCAGCACACACTTCGGCTCCGACATACCGTTATTCCGCGTCTGAGCGCCCCAACTCTGCACACCATACTCACACGCGCCAAGCCCAGTACTGTAGGAGAGGATGACAGTATCCGATGCTCAAAGAGAAAGCGTACCAACAACAGGAGGCAAGAGCAAACTTAACAAAGTAAAAGTAATGCAGACAAGCCAAACGTATATCTTCACCTCGATTTAGCCAACCCGATCGACTGCGCACACGGCCCAGGTGACGAGTTGCCACTCAAGCGCAAAGTTGAGGCATCGAAGTGCGGCTCATGACGCAACGATAAACCAAAAGGGGGCCTACGGAAGGGACGGAGCCACATGTGCTTGAGAGGAGGAGAAGAGGAGGAGGAGGAGGAGGAGGAGGAGGAGGAGGAGGAGGAGGAGGAGGAGGAGGAGGAGGAGGAGGAGGAGGAGGAGGAGGAGGAGGAGGAGCCACGCCTTGCGCGACACGCCGCTGAAAATGATTGGACCCTTCGCCAAGCTATCGCTCTGGCTTGAGGCACATCACCTTCCACTGAAGTGCACTGCCTTGCTCCTCACTGCTTTGCGCTGCACTGTGCTGCTTCGCGCTGCACTGCTACTTTGCTCTGCATACTACCAGCCTTCTGATTTAGCGGGGCACCTCTTCCAAAGCCCGTTCTCCCCCTTCGGGGAGTGGCTAGGCACTGTTCCTTACTTCGAGGGAACATATCAAGGGAACTCACGCCATCCTGACCCCCGGCGCGCGAAGAAGTGAGGCCAACACCTGCGCTTCGCACGCATTCTGGCGAATCTGGCGGAATCTGGCGCAGAATCCAAAGCTGGCGCCCTCGCTCGGGAAGTCCTTGCAAAATCGGCCCCAGGGGGCCAAGAATGCTTCCCGCATCGCTCCTGGAGAATCTGACGGAATTCGGCACAGAATCCCATACCGGCGCCCTCGATCGGAACATCCTCACAAAATCGGCCCAAAGGGAGGGACCAAGAGTACTTCCTGCACTGTTTCTGGGGATGACGGTATGAACAAACGCACTCCTGTCCTATGTACAGAAACGCCCGATCAACCGCAGAGCGGCAAATACTAACATACACCCCCTCCCCCACTCTACCAGCCCGTAACCAAGGCCAGCGCAGCCCCCCCCATCATCCGTGACAAAACGTAATACATTATGCACTGTGCGGCAAAATCTGGATCATGTTCGGGCGCCCCGTGATCACATAACATTGTTTTTTGACAACGGCGAGGGGGGAGGGGTAGCATATTGCCCCACGGATCACTTTCCGTATCAAATCCAATGCCAAGTGCACGTGGCGGCAAAATCTTGGAGCATGTGGGGTCTGGAACGGGGGCGAGGTGTCAGAGATTCCGTTTGGGCCTAAGTTGACTGATGAACTTCCGAGGCCTAGAGAAGACCCCAAGATAGCCCCAAGAGATGCCCAGATGGCTCAATGATGGCCTCGAATATCCCCGATAGCGAACCAAAAACATGCGAAAATACACTCAAGCGGCGCAGAAGAGCGCCAAAAAAAACCGAGAAACCCAAATGAAAGACGCGGCCGTAACGTGAGATGGAGTGCCGGGATCAGGGTGTTAGAGTACTTGCAATGATGAGGATGCGTCTCAAGACAGCCATCAAGCATACGTACAGACCTGGTGAACACCGATGCGACACGACCAAGATAATTTGCAATAGCCGTGGGTGGCAGATCGCTCTGAAGAGCCTCACCAACAATATCGGGCCATTTCTCTCTATCTATATATGTCTTTACAATTACACAGGAGGAAAAACCCAATCAGTGGATGGTTTTCGCTGAGGAGATCGACCAGGAACCCGGGAGCCCAGCAACCCAAAACCCACCAAAATCGGCGCGGAACCAATAGCCGGGAACCGGGAACCGGGAACCTGGGAACCCAACCTGCTACCAAAACCGGCGGGAAACTTTCTCCAAATCTTTCAACTTCTGCTAGGACCCTTTCATTGCAAACACTGATTGGGGAATATGGCTATACGTAGTTAGCAGCACAGCAAGAACCGTGAGTGACGCACCGTCCCGAAGCCTCACCAGCAAGCTGGGGCACTCAAGACGTCCGCGTCCTGCACCAGCCCCTGCCTCCTCCTCCTCCTCCTGTTCCTCCTCCTCCTCCTCCTCCTCCTGCGGTAGACACACACGAGCATACATCGAGCTCAAGAAAAAATGTTGGGGCACCCTCGACGTCGGCCTCGGAGCTTCCCGATACGCTCACGTGGCTCCTCTGGCTTCCAGGGGTCCTCGGGGGATACGGCAATACCCGTGGGACACCTGCGCACACTGTATTACTGCTGAGCGTGCTCTCCTGTTCCTTTAGGCCAATTTCCGCTCGGATGTGCAAACTGTGCTCGGTCCGGCAGCGCTGCCCCCTCCTGAGGACGAGTCGGAGGAGGACGAGGACGAGTCGCTCATCCAGTCGTGGTTGAAAGTGGACGCCGAAAGGTCCGACCGGCGCCCCAGGGGAGCACCCCTCGGCTGGATCTCTGCCCCTTCGGCTCACGCAGCGAGGAGGACGAACATGTGGCCCGCATGCCCTGCTGGCTCTTGCATGCGGGGAGTGAGGAGGGGAGGTATTTTGGGGCTATCCCAAACACGTCTTTGGGTCTCTTCGGGCCTGTCGGGGCCGGGGTCAAGGAGTTCCGAGCTGGCCAGGCAGGCGGACGACGACGAATGACGACGCCGAGCGACGACGACAATAAGAGGCTCTGAGCTGACGATTTTTCAAAAATCACCTTTCTAGGGGGAAGATGGGAGCGGACAGCGAATATTCACGCAACTAGCCTCGCCAAACGCGCCGTCGACCAAGCATGCCCCCCGCAGGGTTGTCCTGCGAACATTGGCGATTTCTGGCAACGGAAAAAAGCAGGCTGAACAGGCAAGAACAAGCTTAGCTGGGGACGGGCCTCTAATCGAGGATCGGCTGGCACATCCAAAATTGAAGAGACGGCCTGAGATGGGGGCGACACGCAACGACCATGTCACGAATTACAGCCCGCAGATGCGGAAGGAGGATGAGGACAACGATGACGAGGAGGAGGTGGAGAATGATGATGATGATGATGATGATGATGATGATGATGATGATGATGATGATGATGATGATGATGATGATGATGATGATGATGCTGACGATGATGAGGATGATAATAATAATAATCATAATAATGATGATGATGATGATGATGATGATGATGATGATGATGATGATGATGATGATGATGATGATGATGATTATGATGCTGCTGCTGCTGATGATGATGATGATGATGATGCTGATGAGTCTGATGATGATGAGGAGGAGGCGGAGGAGGAGGAGGAGGAGAACCCGCAGGTCGGCTGCTCAAGTTCTGGCCCACGCCAGAAGGAACCAAAACAAAAACCGGCCACACTCGGGTGGAGGGGACGGGGGAAGAGGAACCCAGAGGAGGAGGAGGAGGAGGAGGAGGAGGAGGAGGAGGAGGAGAAGGAGAAGGAAGAGGAGGATGAGGAGGATGAGGAGGACATATGAGGAGATAGGAGGAGGAGGTGGATGATGATGATGATGAGGAGGAGGAGGAGGAAGAGAAGGGGGAGGAGGAGGAGGACCAATGGAAACCCCAGAGTCATCAACGATGCCAGAATAATCCCTCCCTCTTAGCTCCCTTTTCAGAAGCCCCTACAACGGTTCATTTCCACTGAGAGAACTACATCGTTGGAAGACAACCGTTTCAAGACCCTGAAGCATGCCAAATATTGTTCTCGGGATTTCAACGCCACGGATCAACTTGGCAATTGCGTCTTGGCGATCTTGAATCGTACCAGAACGCCATTCATGGGACTTCAACACCGCGAAGGCACCCTCATAATCCTGAATCCTTCCAAAACACCATGTCTGGTACGCTGATCATGGGAATCCGTGCAACTCTTGCAAGTGTTAAAAACGACTGTGCGCGGCGCTGAAGCGAGAGCCACATTTCTAAAAGGAGCCGCCCTCAATCAGTGAAGCACTTGCAAATGTTAACAACGACTGTGCGCGGCGCTGAAGCGAGAGCCACATTTTGAAAACGGGTCGCCCTCAATCCGTGAAACTCTTTCAATTTTGTAAACGAATGTGCGCGGCGCTGAAGCGAGAACCACATTTTGAAATCGACCCACCCTCAATCCGTGAAGCTCGTACATATGTTTACATCGAATGTGAGCGGCGTTAAGGCGAGAGTCACATGTCGAACATGATCCGCCCTCCATCTGTGAAGCTGTATTCACTTGTCAAGCTTCAGGGTCATACATGGTGGGGAAGTCTCAGGCGAAACGCCCGGTCAGCCTTAAACACTGGTCTCGGGGTGCGACAGGGAGAAATTATTTACAAGGAAAGGAAATCGAGGAGGAGGAGGAGGAGGAGGAGGCAGAGGCGGAGGAGGAGGAGGAGGAGGAGGAGGCAGAGGCGGAGGAGGAAGAGGAGGAGGAGCCTTTTGAGGGCAATTCGTCTGTCGTCGTGGACGGGCCGCCTCGCCTTCCGCCGCCCGCTACGCCCTCGCCCTCTCGGAGCGTGCGAGGCGCGGCGGGAAAGCGGCGCCGGAGGCGGAGGGGTGGCCGCGCGCCCCGGGGCGCGGCGGCAGCGGCGGGCCAGCGAGGAGCGGCGGCTCCGCCAGCGGGGCCCCGCGCCTCCGCCCGCCCCGCGGGCGGCCGCGGCGCAGGGGGCGCACGCGGCGGCGGCGGCGGGGGCGCGGCCTCGTGCCGCAGCCGCCGGAGCCTCGCGCAGTGCCGGCAGCTCGGGTCTCGGTCTCGGGCTGGCCTCTCGCCGCGGGGGCGCCTGCGGCCATGGGTCGCGGCCAAGGGTCGCGCTCCTGCTGCAGGAGCTGCCGTGCCGCCTCCTCGGCCGCGGGCGGCAGCGGCTCTGGGGCGGGCCGCTGCTGCGGTGCCTCTGCGTCTGGCGAACCAGTGGTCTGGGCCGCCAGGAGCAGCATGGCCATCTCCTCGTCGGTCGCGAGCTGCTGCTGGTGCTTCTCCTGTCCGGTGCTTTCCTCTTGCGGCGGCTTGCCCTCTTCGTTGGCCTTCATGCCCGAGGGGTCCTCGCTTTCTCTCCTCAGCATCTGCCGGAGACAGGAGGAAAGCGACATATTCGCATTGGGGCTTGCCCCCCGTGTGTGCCCTGTCCTGAATCTGATCCTGGTTCGGGGGACGAGCCCGTGGAGCCTCGGGAAGGCTCGGAGTCCAAGCCCTCAGGAGAAGCCGCTCCCCAGGGCCCGCGGCTCATCCAAGACCGCCAGGTGCTCGAGGCGACCATGGAAGACTGCAAGTCAAAGCCCCTGCTCAGTTGTCGCTCGTGCTGGCAGTACGCTGAGTTTCTTGGCCAGCGGGGGCTCAAGGGCTCGTGGTCCGGGTTTCGTCGCCTCTCTGGAGGCAATGCCGTGACTGCGCGCAATCGCGTGCGAAGCTCGCAGCACCCGACTCGTCCCGAGGTGTTGCCCGGGGGGATCGTCGGCCGCCGTCGCTGTCGCCTCGGGCCCGCTGGGCGTGCCACCGCGGGGAATCTGTGGCTGGTTGGTCCCGAGGCGGCCCCAGGGGATCGTCGACCGCCGCCGCTATCGTCTCGGGCCCGCTGGGCGGGCCACCTCGGGGAGTCTGTGGCTGGTGAGCACATGGCGAGAGGAATCACCCCCCCCGGAATGTTGCTCCCATCGCACTTAAGGACCACGTCCCAGAAATAAGTTCGAGCACCCGGAAAAGTGTCGAAACAGTGTCGAAACGGTGTCGACCGAGTGTGTCCCAGGGCCCGACGTGTGAAAACCCTGGCGTTTCGGTACCTCCTTGATTCTCGAAATCCTTTCTGGTGACCAAGGCTAGAAAGTAGGTTGGAACATCATAGCCCCCCCGTTCATTTCAGCAGGGGCCGCTGCCGCGGGTGGAGGAGGAGGATGAGGAGGAGGCGGAGGAGGAGGAGGAGGAGGAGGAGGGAGGAGGAGGAGGAGGAGGAGGAGGAGGAGGAGGAGGAGGAGGGAGGAGGAGGAGGGAGAGGAGGAGGAGGAGGAGGGGAGGAGAGGAGGAGGAGGCGGAGGAGGAGGAGGAGGAGGAGGAGGAGGAGGAGGAGGAGGAGGAGAGGAGGGAGGAGGGAGGAGGCAGGAGGAAAGGGAGGGGAAAAGGAGGAGGAGGACAGGAGGACAAATGGAGGAGGAGGAATGGAGAGGAGGAGGAGAGGAGGAGGAGGAGAAGGAGGAGAAGGGGGGGGAGGAGGAGGAGGAGGAGGAGGAGGAGGAGGAGGAGGAGGAGGAGGAGGAGGAGGAAGGAGGAGGAAGAGGAGGAGGGAGGAGGGAGGAGGGAGGAGGGAGGAGGGAGGAGGGAGGAGGGAGGAGGGAGGAGGGAGGAGGGAGGAGGGAGGAGGGAGGAGGAGGAGGAGGAGGGGGAGGAGGAGGAGGAGGAGGAGGAGGAGGAGGAGGAGGGAGGAGGAGGAGGAGGAGGAGGAGGAGGAGGAGGAGGAGGAGGAGGAGGAGGAGGAGGGAGGAGGAGGAGGAGGAGGAGGAGGAGGATGAGAGGAGGGAGGAGGTGGAGGAGGAGGAGGGAGGAGGAGGAGGAGGAGGAGGGAGGAGGAGGAGGAGGAGGGAGGAGGAGGGGAGGAGGAGGAGGAGGAGGAGGAGGAGGAGGAGGAGGAGGAGGGGAGGAGGGGAGAAGGAGGAGGAGGAGGAGAGGAGGAGGAGGAGGAGGAGGAGGGGGAGGAGGAGGGGAGGAGGGAGGAGGAGGAGGAGGAGATCGGAGCGCGAGCCCACGAGGCCCAGGGCGGTGCGCGCACGGCGCACACGCCCGGCGTGATGATGCTGCACTGTGGGTGGCCTGTCGGGGGGGCCCGTCGTAGGTGGATCGCGGCCTCGGGCGGGGAACAAACGTTCTCCTCGGACGGGAGCCCCACACCCAGTTTCCTCCTCTCTCTCTCTCTCCCTCCCCTTAGCTCCTCCCTTTCTGGGCGTTCGGGCTCCTCCTCCTCCTCCTCCTCCTCCTCCTCCTCCTCCTCCTGCTCCTGCTCCTGCTCCTTCCTCCTCTTTACCGTCCTTCTGGCTTGCTCCCTCGCTCCCTCGCGCTCTACCTCCATCCCTCCCTCCTGTGCGCCTTGCCCTCGGCTTGTGCCTGAAATGAGGCCGAGCCCGATGCTCGGGCGTTTTCCGACTGTGGTGTCCAAGCGAGTTCGGCACTCGCCCGGCTGACAGGGAGTGACCCTGCCTTCGTGGACGGCCGATCCGATCCTGCTCCTCCTCCCGCTCCTCCCCCCGCTCCTCCTCTTCCTCCTCCTTCTCCCCCTCCTTCTCCTTCCTCCCCTCCCCTCCCCTCCCCTCGCCCTCGCCCTCCCCTCCCCTCCCCTACCCTCCCCCTCTCTGTCTCCTTCTCCTGCGCCGGCATCGGGCCTGCGCGCCCGCCGGGAGGCTCCTGCCGACCCGTCGTCGCTGCGCCACCAGGCGTGCCGGTGGCGCGGCCGGGCGTTTCGCCCGATGCTTCCTCGCTGCG